TTGAACCTTGATCAGATTGGATAACTTTCGGAATACCAAAAATAGAAATAAACTGGGTCAGAGCCTTCACCACAGACCTAGCAGTAATAGTACGGAGTGGATATGCAGCAGGATATCTTGTTGTCTGACACATTACTGTCAACAAATAATTACTTCCAGCTTTAGAACGAGGCAAAGGACCAACACAATCAATAATAAGGTGTTCAAAGGGTTGCATAATTGCCGGAATTGGATACAAGGGAACCGGCTTAATATTCTGGTTTGGCTTTCCTGTCATCTGACAAGTATGGCAGGTTTTGATATATTCAGACACATCCTTTTTTAACCGAGGCCAAAAAAAATAACGCAGGATATAATTATAGGTTTTGTGGATCCCCAAATGCCCTGATTGATCATGGGAAGCCTGCAACACTACACTGCGAAACTTAGAGGGAACAACAGTCTGCCAGAGTGGACCACCAACAAAATCTTCCCCATGTACCACCCATTTCCGTACCAACAATCCATCCTTCAACACATACCCTCTAGCCACACTCTCTTCCTCAGTGACCACCTGATTAAACAGATGACGAAGAGAAGAATCTGCTCTCTGCTCTGCCATCAGGTCACTATGAGAAACAGATAAAAGAGAATCAGGGACATATACCGAGAAGAAATCACTTTCCTCTGCTCCCCCACCTTCCTGGTCAGGGGCAGATGCAGACTCAGCCCGACACATAGCTCGTGTCACTGCACAAGCTGTAAAAACCCCAGGGAAGCACTGAGCAACCCCATCCAACTTCCCTAACACAGGGGAAGAAGTTACTATGGGTGCCGGCAGCAGACAATCAGTCCACACCCGTCCACCAGCAAGATCATTGCCCAAGATTACATCCACTCCCTCAAGAGGAAGTGCAGGGCGCACCCCCATAATAACCTCTCCCTGAACCAATCCACAAGTCAATATCAGTTTATGCAGTGGAACTGGTTCCACCAAAAGCCCCATTCCCCGCATTAAAACATGATCTCCAGTGTTGGTTTCCTCAGAAAAGGGTAATACAGAGCTCACAATATATGAATTAAAAGCCCCAGTATCCCTCAAAATTTTTACCGGCACTGTAGCATCACTCCCCACTATGGACACATGGCCATCAGAAATGAAAGGAGAAAAATCCCCCTTGTCCAAAGTGTACTTCCGTCCTACTCCCACCTGCTTGGAGGAAACAAAACCAGCATGTTTTTCAGAGGCAGCAAACGCAGCAGGTTTCACTTGAGCACCCCGTTTAGGGCATTCACGCTTCCAATGGCCCCTGGCTTTACAATAATGACATACGTCAGCTGGATCCAAATAAACATGCCCACCTGAAACCCGTTCTGACCTACTGTCCAGATCAGGACCAACACCTTCCTCCTTCGCATGACCCCCCACAAAAGATCGACTGCCACTCCTGTAGCCAAAATCATTGCCAGTTTGATACCCACAGCCACCCCTGTGTAAAAGAACATATTCATCTGCTAGTCTAGCAGCTTCAGCAGCTGTCTTCACATTATGTTCACTGATGTATACAGCAATATGACCCGGGACAGAGTTTTTAAACTGTTCCAGGACAACCAAATTACAGAGGTCAACAAAAGTGCTAATTTTCAAGGAAGCACACCACCTATTAAAATGGATTCCCAGCTCCCTGGCAAACTCAACATGGGTTTGTTTTCCACCCCTCTGCCATGTCCGAAACCTCTGTCTGTACGCCTCTGGTACCAACTCATAAGCTGTTAAAACAGCCTTCTTCACAGTGGTATAAACTTTACTGTCATCCACTGTAAGAGCAGAGTATGCTTCTTGAGCCTTGCCTGTAAACACACACTGTAAAAGCAGTGTTCGATCCAGATCAGACCAACCTCTGCTATCAGCAACACGCTCAAACAGGGAGAAAAAGGTATCTGGATCCCATTCAGAAAACTGAGGAACCAAACGCAGATTATTGCCAACATCAAACGAGCTAAAAGTTCCCCTACCGGAAGCATCGAGGTGGGCGTGGCCCTCACCAGTTAATCGCAGTCTACATTCTTCCAACTCCATTTTTTTCACATCTAATCTTTTCTGTTCTATAGAAGCCTGCAGCAAAAGCAGCTCACGCTTCTGTTCAAAAGTCAGGCTAGTGTCAACAGCAGCAGCATCCAACCATGTGCTGGTAGCCTGCAATTTAGTTGGTCCCAACACACCTGAGTCAGTTAGATTAGCTTTAATGATAGCTCTAATATTATCCTTAGACCGCTTATCACCAACCTCTAACTGAAAATGTTCAGCGATCTTTAACAATTGTTCGCGTGTGCAGCGCTCCAACCCTTCTTCAGATGGCTCTCGTAAAAACTCATCAACAGCAGCCATAACTTTACCAATTAGTCACCAAAACACCTGAATTTTAGTCGCACTAGCAGCACTCTGAGCCCCCACAATCTTGAAACCACCACAGCGTCACAGTGACCCCGTCCCTCTAACTGCTTAACCAAAAGCTAACTAATCTCCCCCCCTAGTCTTCGGGTGTTACCGTGATGGGTTTTTATGCACTAACGCCCGAGAGTTCGGAAAAGCAACCAATAAATGGCGACCCCCCTGCAACTCCGGATGTGCTCCCGAGACAACTGCTCTACCCACGTTCACACCACACTAAAATCCCCCCACAACAAACTCCATAAAGGAAGTCGTTGCTAAACCTAGCAGGGACAGAACCACCGCGACTTACTACGATTGCGATCACTCAAACTGCTACACAGACACACTCTCTCAAAACAGATGTACAATGGCTGCATCACTCACCAAACACGCTCGTCAACGTCCCCCAACAAGCCAGCGTTCACAAATCAAAGCACAATACTTGACAGCTGATCTCCAATCCGGGTTCAGATTTTTGGACGAGCCCCCATTTGTCACGCCCCCCCATAGGCAATGACAACAATGGGAGACAGACGAGCGGATCCCAATAAACAATTTATTTGTTTCGAAGAAAAGTATGCGCTTAGAGGACTGTTCAGCCAGTCCGAGAGAAGTGAGGAGCAGTGCTGCCGGTTCCGGTCAAGTCCGGAGGCCAACCAAGCAGCACCGGTGACTGACTAGATGCCCGTATTTATTAGACACCGGGTGCGTTC